TTTGCCTCCCAGCTCTTTCCTCTATTTTCCTCCTGTCCCACTATCATGCTCAGTCCCCACCAGGGTTTCAGCACTTCCTCTTTGTTACATTACCCTTGATCATGCCCTACCAGATGACACATTAGCTTTTAAGACTCCAGGGAGTACTCACCTAAGTAGGATGTAAAACATTGTCTTTGTTCCAATTGATGTTCTTTGAGACCATGGTCCTAAGCCTTCAGACCCCATAAGGTGTTCAGTTCTATCTATGAAGTGTTTATAACGCTTCTCTCTGCATGCTCTACCACGTTCATGAGTATATTTACACTATAAGTAAATGCACAAGTAGAAATATGCTCTGCCTAACCTATACATATTCATGGTAGAGAACCATTCTCCCTGCCACACCTGTTCAATCTGCTTGTCCATGCCGCTGCTTGTAGATCACCATTATTGCAAGGTTGTATATCTATCACAGTATTTACCTCTGTTGCTTTTAACTCTTGTGCTTCTCCCAGTGCTTTCCCTACTTTTTTTCTTTTTCTTTTGTGCTGACTTTTCTCTTATTGTACTTGCTTCCCCTTCACCCAAGTTAATAGGTGTCTGCCTGCTAGTTAGTAATGCATCCTTCATCCCTTCATACCGCTGGTGGACATCAAAGAATTTTCCTCTTAGTGTGAAAACCTTTGCTTGACTTTCTATAACAGAGGTCTCATACTATAGTTGTCCTTTGGTAGTTGATTTATTTTACAAAGCATCACGTCCTCCACATTGTTCCAGGTTATTCAGCATTTTACAGACTCATCAGCATTCTTCAAGTTTTAGTTTTTTCCCCATTGTGTAGATGTATAATAGTTTGTTTATTATTAAGATCTTTTTATAAAAGCATCTTATTTAAAATAAATGCTAAAAATATTTAGTAATAGATTTCTGCCGCAACATCAATCTACCTTAGGTTATTTTACACATTCATGCTCTAGTTGCTTTTAAACAACTTTTAATGGCTTTTTAGCATATATCTTAATTTTTGAAGTATTATGATATAATTGCTTACTAAAATAATGCAGACTGATGATTATTTGAAAAATTAAAAATTAAATTAGTCTCTTAGATTCATGTTGTTCATATTCTCGATCAGTTGAACATTCCCAAACCCAACCCAACCTCCTGCCGTGGATTTGATTATAATTCATAGCAGCGCTATAGGACAAAGTAGAACTTGCTCTCCGTTTCCAAAGCTGTAAATCCTCACAGAAACGGACTGCCAAATCTTTGTCCCCTGGAACAGCTGGTGGGTTTGAATGCTGATGTTTTGATGAGCATGTAGCGCTTTAACCACTGCACCACCAGGGCCCCTTTGTTGACCATTATTTATGTTGAATATGATTTCAGATAGCATGCTTATTATACATTTTTTAAAAAGACTTTATTATTTTACTTTTTCCACTGTCTTTACCTGGAAATAAATCTTGATGTTATGGACTTTATGAGACATGGAGCTTCATGTAAGATCCATTAAAAAAGTAAATTTAATTAGTGTATCCATCTGAACTGATTGTTTTTACTGTAGATCTCACAAGAAATGGAAAACCTTGGTGGCTGAATGATACATCAGCGTTTACGGCTTCACTACCCATTAATGACACATCCATCCGCCACAGACAGAAGAGATCAATTAGCATTGAGCGGTTTGTGGAGACATTGGTTGTGGCAGACAAAATGATGGTGGGCTACCATGGCCGGAAAGACATTGAACATTACATTTTGAGTGTAATGAATATTGTAAGTTTGATCCCTCTGTGCAATACTCTTCCTAATACTTCATTGTGTGTTTTTTTTAATTAGTCTTAGATTTTTATTGCAAAGTGGAGTCGATCCTCATTCTTCCCAGACTCAGTACTTTCAAGTTCACTGTCTGGTGAAATTCAATTTAGTACTGGTTGTACATCCACACAACTGTGAAAACCTTGAGTTGCTCAAGGGGCACTTTCTCTGCTGAGATGGAACCAGGCTGGTTTAGTATTTCAGTGTATGTAGGCACGCTATAGAACACAACCACATGGAACCATGAGAAACAACTGTTCATAATAATTTAAACATTTACTCACTGAAAATGAGAAATAACTCATCTATGAATGTTCAATTTCCACTTCAGAACATTTCAAATGCTTCAGCTACAGAAAATAAATCTAAAGGTGACCTTACTGCTCATTTTCAACTAAGACTTTTTGAATGGGTCAGGTTAAGCATTGCTTAAAGGATTTTTATTAAATTGAAATATCAGCTCACACTCTAGTTACTGTATTTCACCTCTAGGAGAAAATATATTTTGAGGTACATGTGTATAATGAATCTTTAGACCAACATGTGTATGTCCATGGTGAAATTTATTTTAAAATAATATTACTACTCTTTAAAAAAAATCAAGCCATTGCTCTGTGATTTTTGTCTGACTTTGTGTCTTTTCTTATTTTCTGGAGGTCAGGTTGCCAAACTTTACCGTGATTCCAGCCTAGGAAACGTTGTGAATATTATAGTGGCTCGATTAATTGTTCTCACAGAAGATCAGGTAACAATGATTTTTATTTCTCAATTCAAAGCTCTTAACATATAAGCTGTAGAATTAGGCATTTTCAAAGTACTTATTTTACTATTGATTGTCCTAGCAATTTTTAGTTGAGTCTGCTTTTCACCTCTAAGCATTTAGTACTATAAGCAAGCTATAAATCGTTTATAAGATTCTATCTCTTAGGGCAAGTGAAAGCTAGGTCAATGTATCTTAACTATATATTTCAGAATAAGGAAGAACATTTGCATGGCAAACTTTAATACTGATGTGGGCTTTGTTTATTGATAATCTCACACAGAGTCACATTATTATAGCTGGAACTGGGAAGCGTGTCAGTTCAATAATACACTAAAGGAACTTTAGGTCAGATTTGACAGAGATGAAAATTGGCAGGAGATTATTCCTAGAAACTACTGCTTCTAATTATAGCCCCATTTTAGTCTTCAGAAGTTGTAACAACTGACCTTAGTAATTTGTTTGGAACATTTCTGGTATGCATGTTGTATTGCAGCCAAACTTGGAGATAAACCACCATGCAGACAAGTCCCTCGATAGCTTCTGTAAATGGCAGAAATCCATTCTCTCCCACCAAAGTGATGGAAACACCATTCCAGAAAATGGGATTGCCCACCACGATAATGCAGTTCTTATTACTAGGTATGGTTTGTTGCAAGTATTTTCTTTTTGTTTGTTGTGTTTGTTTATATTGTAATTGTATTTGGCTCTATCTAAAGCTTATCCAGGTAATAAGTAGAAAAGGCAAAATCGTCATTGGTTTTTCGCTACTGAGAAAGAAGGTGTCACACCATTCTTGTGTTTGTCTAATAGGAATAAAAGAGAAGTCTGAGATTTGACTTAGAAATTTGGTAAATATTCTTTCCTTCTATTGATAAAGTCTATATTCATAGGATTTAGTGGAAGCACATGTATAATTTGTAAATTGAACCAAATGCATATTAAATGCGTAATTTAAGTGTATGGGAAATACGCATTCAAAAATAAGAGTTGTTACTCATGGTTGTAAAATATATGAACTGTTCTTACTCTTAAGTCAATTTAAGACTTGTTTAAAGGGAAGGAAGAAATCAGCGGTGACACACGTTACTTAAGAGAATGTCTGTTTAATTGTGAAATGCTTTAAAAATGTAAAAAAATCAAAGGCAAATCTATTATATTATATGTTGACAGTTTTGCTTTCAAGGAAAATTATGAGCACTCAATGATAATTCAATGGATTTATATGTTGCTTTATAGTTTTACAAAACTCGATTCAGATCTATTGTCTTCTTAATTCCCCAAGAACAACTTTGTGCAACAGATACCATAGTTTTTTTTTTCTTTGTACTGGAAATGAGGAAACTGGTTCAAAATAGCTAAAAATTTGCTATGATCACCCAGTTAATAAGTGAATGAGCAGTGCTCATATCCAGATGATATTATACTGTGACTATACTATACTCTGTTTTACTATTTTCATCTCTAAGTGTGACTGAATGAGCCCTCGTGGCTTAGTGGGTTACACATTGGACTGGGAAATGCAAGGTCACCAGTTTGAAACCATCAGCCACTCCATTGGAGAAAGATAAGGCTCTCTACTCCCCTAAAGATTTTCTGTCTCAGAAACCTACAGGGCAGTTCAACCCTGTCCTGTAGAATTGCTGTGAGTCAGCACTTCCGGTAGTGAGTTTGAAGTTCATTGTAGTTGGCTACAAACGTTATACGGAAGTTGTTTTCAGAGAAGTGTGCCTTTAAGTCTCCTGTCATTATTTTCAAACAGCAACAAGCAAAATGGAAGCATTATTCTTTTTTGGTTAAATGGATTAATAGTTTTGTTCTCTTGATCATTTCCTTTAATTTGTAAGGCTGAGGTTAACATATCTGTCACCGTGGAGGGCTTGCTTATGCTACACTGAATTCTAAGGAGCTGTAAAGTAGAGCTGCTCTTCATTATCTATAGAGTCTATGTTTACAAATTTAGCTATTTGCTAAAATTTCCCTGGGACCACAGCACATGAAAGCCATTGTGCTGCTTTCATGATCTGTGGAAATATGTAGAGGGTCAAAAGTTTTGAGTCATCTGACATGCAAGTTCGCGGAAGTTGAACAAGGAGCTACTCGGTCTCCTTATTTCAGCTCTCATACTGCAAATAAGTACTGTAAAAGGGGAAAAACCCCTCTGTTGCTGCTTACTGAGTGCTGCATTTCTGTACCTTTTGTTGGACTGGTGATATCGTTGTTGAAAATGGCTGTCAAGCATAGAATTGAAGTCTTGTCTAGTGTTCCTATGCTCAAGAAGGCTGAGATGTACCTTAGAAAGAAAATGTGTGTGTTAGGTAGGCTTGGTTCAGGTATTGCGGACCATGAGTTCAATGTGACTCAATCAACAAAATATATTAGCCAAGGGGTCGCTAACACAGACACACACGAATCAAGGTTACGTATTGATTGTTTGATGTCTTGATCTGAGGCTTGCATAAAATTGACTCTGCTTTTCGTCTGGGAGCAGTGGCTCACTTATTCCTTGTTTAGCATCTTCAGTGACTTTCTAGAACAAATCACCATGAAAAACAAGCACTGACTGCATAAGAGATCCAAATCTTGAGACCCAGAAAGAAAATGTGAATTTAACATATAGAAAAATTTTCTTGTTAATTGAATTGCAGAGTTAAAATTTCTGTGTAGGTTGCTATTATTATTAGTTACACTTTCATTAGCTGTTGTTAGGTGCCATAGAGTTGGCTCCCACCCATAGCGACCCGATGTACAATGTGGTCCTGTGCCATCCGCACAATTATTCCTATACCTGAACCCATTGATGCAGCCACTGCATCAGTCCATCTTGTCAAGGCCCTTCCTCTTTTTTGCCTCCCCTCTGCTTCACCACCCATGATGTCCGTCTTCAGGAACTGGTCTCACCTGACAAGATGTCCAAAGTATATCAAAAGAAGTCCTGCCACCCTTGCGTCTAAGGAACACTTTGTCCTTCCAATACAGATGTTTGTCCTTTTAGCAGTTCATGGTACTTTCACTATTTTTCTCCAGCACCACCATTCAAATGCATCCATTCATCAGTCTTCCTTATCCAGTGTCCAACTTTCACATGCATATGATGCAATCAATGGAGAATACCATGGCTGGGGTCAGGTGCACCCTAGTCCTCAAAGAGCATCCGTGCTCTTCAAGACTCTAAAGGGTTCTTGTGCAGCAGGTTTATCCAATGCAATATGTCTTTTGAGCTCTTGACTGTTGATTCCATGAGCATTGATTGTGGATCCGAAACAGAAACTTGACAACTTCAGCCTTTTCTCCATTTATCATGATGTTCCCTACTGGTCCAGTTGTGAGGATTTTGGTCTTCCTTCCATTGAGTTGTCATCCATATTGAAGGGTACAGCCCTTGATCTTCATCAGCAAATGATTGAAGTCCTCCTCACTTTCAGCAAGCGAAGTTGTATCAACTGAGTACTGCAGGGTGTTAATAAGCCTTCCTCCAATCCTGATTCCCACACCCTTCTTCACATAATCCAGGTGCTCTGATAATTTTCTCAGCATCCAGATTGAACAAGTGTGATGAAAAGGTACAACCCTGATGTACACCTTCCCCGATTTTAAATCATGCAATAGTCCCTTGCACTGTTGGCACAACCGCTTCTTGATCCATATACAAGTTTTATATGTGCACAATGAAGTGTTTTGGAATGCCCATTCGTCCCAAGGTTTCCCAGTTTGTTATGGTCCACACGGTCCAATGCCTTTCCATAGTCAATGAAACACAAGTCAACATCTTTCTGTTATTTTCTGCTTTGAGCCAAGATCCATCTTACATCAGCAATGATGTCCCTTGCTCCATGTCCTGAATCCAGCCTGAACATCGGTCAGTTCCCCATCAATGTACTGCTGTAACCATTGTTGTAGGATCTTAAAATTTGCTTGTGTGCAATATCAATGATATCATTCTATAGTTTGAGCATTCTGTTGTGTTGCCCTTGTTTGTAATTGGCACAAATATGGATCCCTTCCAGTCATTTGGAAGAAAGCTGTCTTCCAAATTTCCTGGCATAGACTACTGAGTGCTTCCAGTGCTTCATCAGTTTCTGAAAGCTTAAGGGCTCCTGGAGGCATAGTAGTGATGTGCTGGCCTTCGATCAGCATGGTTGTCAGTTCAGAACTAGAAGCAGCTCTGGAGGAGAAAGACCTGGTTTTCTACTCTTGTAAACATTTACAGTCTCAGAAACCCACATGGGGTCACTGTGAGTCAGCCTTGACTCAAGGGCAGTGAGTTTGGTTTTGGTTTGATGGAATCAAAACAGGTGCATAGTTCAGTTTTCATATCTATTGACAAGTCAGCCGAGAAGTGCTGCCATTTATGAGAGTCTTATAGTCTGGATGATTCCTGAATATATTTACATAATTAAAAAGATACTAGAAATGGTACAACTGTAGACATCTTTGTGTTTCTCGCTCTCTCTGTATATATGTGATTGGCATCCGTGAGATCAGTCTGACACATATGACACCACTATGAATTAGAATGGACTCAAAGTCAACTGAAAATGAAAAAAAAAAGTTTATTTAAATCATATTGATGGTTACTAACTTTTTTTTTTTGATAAATAAGAGGATATAACACTGGACAACTATTTAAATAAAAAAAAAGATTGCTACTTTGGGCTGTGCTTGTAACTGTAGAAAAATAATTTAAGACAGTAGAATCAGAATGTAAACACTTTAGAAGTTACACATGAAAAAAAAAAAAGAAGTTACACATGCCACAAAACATTCAGATTATCTTTATTAAGCTTTATACACACAAATGCAAGTTAATGGCTATGTAAATGCCTGTAATTTGACAGATTATTGGAGTGATTTTTATTTCTACACAAAGTCAAGAAATATCTACCACAAGTTTAATGTGAAAGCATTTTTAAAATTTGCCAGCAGCAAATTATCCAAGAAATCCATGTGCCATCTGAATCCAGTAAGAATTTAGTGACATTGGGTGCACTTATAGATGTTTAACAATTAGCATGAATAGATTAATACATCTTTTTGTTGGTTTCTCCTCTATAAGTAATAGTAATTCTCCTTTTCAGGTTTTGGATATGAACATATAACACTTAAAAAATACTTTTATTGGGGCTCTTACATCTCTTATCACAATCCATACATTCATCCAATGTGTCAAGCACATTTGCACATATGCTACCATCATCATTTTCAAAGCATTCTCTTCCCACTTGAGCCCCTGATGTCAGCTCCCCATTTCTTCCCCCTCCCTCCCCTGTCCTCCCTCACAAACCCTTGGAAAGTTATAGATTATTTTTTCCATATCTTATTTCATCCTCCATCACCCCTGTTATTCGTACCCCTGGGAAGGGGTTCTAGATTGATCCTTGTGATCAATTTCCCCTTTTTCCCCCAACCCTCCCCTAATCCTTCTGGTATCTCTACTCTCCTTGTTGGTCCTGAAGGGTTTATCTATCCTGGATTCCTTGTGTTGTGGGCTCTCATCTGTGGCAGTGTGTATGCGCTGGTCTAATCTGATTTGTAAGGTAGAATTGAGGTCATGATAGTGGGGTGAAAGAAGCACCAAAGAGCTAGAGGAAAATTGTGTGTTTCATTGGTGCTAACCTGCACCCTGACTGGCTCATCTCTTC